CAGAACATGACTTCTCCTTTCTGATTAGTACAAAGCTGGCTGCTAGTCAAAGGATAATTATTTCCCAACACATCACCTAACACACACTAGCAAACAAAACACTCATTATTTGAGCTATCCAATATTAACTGTTGTTTAGCAGTTAACATTTTCTCGGCAGCTTTAAACAGGACTAATTGCTCCAGCTTCATTAGCAGAGGTCATTTACTGTTGGTAACAATACTTTTCTGGAGATAGTCCCTGGATGAGATTAGATTATCAGGTCAAATTCTGCTCCCGGTGGCAATGATGCCTGACCGCATTTGGCCTCACGAAAGTCTGCTCTTTCAGTTCATAGCTTCCCAATTTCCAGCCCTGCAGCTGATATATTACATAAAGGAAGTAAATGCACTCCACCAGACGGGAAATTACAATAAATTAGGAAAGTGTGCGGCACAAGAAAGGTTGGCAAAATAGCCATTTAAAAGTTATTAATAAAACCGCAACCTCAGATAGGGTTTAGAGAAAAAAAAATAAACCTGATAAAGAAGTTGTCCTTATAGTTGAAAACACGTCAGCAAAGAGGGAAAGTAGTGTTTGGAGAAGAACCAGTGTGGCCTGCATCACAAACACCCAGCTGATGCTATCAAATGCTGCATCTGCTACAGGCATGGTTCAGATCATAAGCCACTTTTTTTGCACAGTTTCATGCTGATTGGAGCTACAGCCAGTGGATGCTGAGGGTTGCAGTCTTCAAGTGCAGCAAATTTGCAGGAGGGTTTCTGTGCAGCTCTCACAAGTGGGGAGTCCTTCTGCAGGGCCTTCAATAGCCTGCTGCACGTCTGAAACAGCCTCAACTTTCCTGAGCACACGGAAAACTGAATCCAGGCTTTCAATCCAATATATTCCCATTTAAACATGTGGAGTGAAGCAGCCTTCTTTTCAGAAGTGCTGAGCAAACACTGCTTAGAGTGAGGCCGGCGCCTTTGAGAATCAGTCATCTTCCATATGGAAGTCTCAGGCATCCTTGCCAAATAATTTTGGTCCTGGCAGCTGCAGGACATTTTCTCTGAGTGGATTTCTGGTTTACCTGTGTCTCCCTTCCCTGCAGGCCTGTGGCTCTTTGCTGTTACTTTCCTGCCCATGTACGTGTGCAGCCGCATGCCTGCCACCTATACTTTCTGACTTGCAGCTCCAATTGCTAATCCATGTCTGGTTTTCGTCAGAAAAAAATATTCATCGTGAGCATTTGACTCATTGCCTCCGGAGTATTTCAGCTGCCCCACAACACTTTTCAGAGTATCCTTCTTCTCTGCAGAGAACAGCCTGTTCTGAGCATGATCCACAGCAAACTGCTCGCCAGCAGCCTCCGGTTCCTCGCACACGTGTGTGCCACATGTCCTGCTCTGTCTGCACCGTTACTGTGCCACTGCTTGTCTCACGCCGTGCAAGATGGACTGGCATCCACCATCTGGGCTGCCAGGTGGATTACCTTAGCTGTCCATGAAGGCACTCAATGTGTCAGCCTCCAGACTCTTCCAGCAGGTCCTCAGCTGGCAGAAATTTAACAGCAGACAAGTCCTGATCGCCTTGCTGACAAAGCTGGCCCTTCTGTGGCCAATGGACTAAATTCATCCTACCTCAATGCCATTTCACTTGTCCAGGGGAAGCATCACCCAACACAGTTATTTGGCTGGAGAAGCCGAGCAAGTTCTGGCCATAAATTTCTCACCTAAGTCAGACCCTTTTGAGGTAAAATTTTCACCACTTTTTGAAGTCCAAGAACATAAGCATTTAGGCGGTTAAAATTAAGTATGTGAACTGATTTATGAGATGAAGAGCCAAGTCCATTAGATTGCCCTGCTCCATGCAGTAGGCACTGTGCTTCCCCAGGATCTGCCACCTTGCCGAGGATGAGGGCTTGGCAGCCACTGCAGCTCCCAGCTGGGCACTGGGGCCGGATCCTGTCCTGCTCTACCCAGCAGGAAGGGACCTGGTCCTGCCCTGGCTTGCTGCGATCCCCAAGGCACACAGGGAGAGCAGTGCTGCCTCCCCATCCTGTCCCAACCCCAACATGCACAGCCAACATCTCCCTGTAATCACTGGCATGAGACATCGCCATCCGGTGCGCCCTTCTGATCCTGTTGTATTTGCTGTAATCACAGATAAAAACAGATTTAAAAAAAACCCCAAAACATCTGGTGGCAAAGCCCACTTCCCTTAGCTCCTGATCTGATGTCAACCCAGCATTTCAAGAACCCCATTTCACTATTGTCAAGGGAGACACCATTAACTGTAACTCACATCAAACCCCAGTAACATCAATGGAAAAGAATTATTTACTTTCCTGGTCCCTTTATTTTGTCTTTTCATAAAACGCATAACTTTTTTTTTCTCCGTGGAAATACAACATTAGAAATTGCAAAGGACAAATTCCTTAACTTTGAAAACAAAAAGAATGAACAAATGGTTTCCAAAACAAACCATTAGCCACCACCCTAAAGAACTCGCTTTGGGAAGTGCTCTTCCTGGGAGCTGATTTTTAATTAAACTACGCTTCTGAGTTTTATAAAGCTAAAAATGGCTTCACTTTTATTCTACACTAGGTTTCTGTTGCTCTATCTGTCATGTATTCATTTCAGTAATGAAAAACTTTATGAAACCACAAGGATACAGCGTATTTTCATAAAGCAATAAAGGAAGACACTCTTTTGAACTAGGGACACAAATCTGCAGCACTTCTGTTCACTGTACCTCCTAACTTGGATCATTCAGTTATCATGATCTGACCCCCAAGGAGTATGTGACTGTCGGCAGTGCGCTGCATATGACCTTTAGCTTTATCATCTACCAACCAGGTACTTTTATTTCACTCAGTGACACAGAAGAGGTTTCTTCAGTGTTTAAGTTTGTCCCAGAGTCCAATCCTGCTCCAATTATGCTTTTTCCATTCCCTCAAAGGGCAGCTCCTTTATTACAATAGGAAGGAACCAAAGCCTGGACTCCTCTGACCAGCTCCCTGGCTGCCATCTCCCCTTACAGGGCATGAGCCCCCCCCCCGGTACTCATTGGGCAGGGGTCTCCCCCAACTTCCTCACTCAGCACCAGGACCCATCCCACTGGACACACATCACCCACATCACTTGGGCAGGATCAGGCATGAGGTGGACCTACTTGTGGGGTGGCATGTAATGCATATGGAGATTTCTTTCTACTCAAGACCATTTCTAGCTTTCAAATTAAACATCCTCTGTAATCTTAACTATTCTGGTCTCTTGACTCTCGGCCTCATACTCCTAACAAAAAAAAACCCCAAAAACCCAAACAACAACAACAACAAAAAAGAAACCCCAAAAAACCCCCAACAAAGAATATATTCCAGAAAGGAATAGTTCGAGAAAATGAGTGTATTCATTATCAGAGTGGAAACACCTTGTCTTTTAGCCACTAATTTTAAGGGAAGTCACTGGACCTCAGTGCAACAGGAACACAACCTTACTGCGTTTCAAACAGGTTTTTTACAACACTGTGTCAGGAAAAGCCATTAGATAGAGTTGTATTGGTAATCTGAGCCATCTTTGGAGAAAAACAAATGCTGTTCTTCCCATTATAAGTAGGTATTGTTTCAAAACCTATAGAGACACACTTGCTTGTGCTGCAATGGTATTTATTGCACATAGACCAATTACTTACACAGTAGTAAATTGCACCAGAGTATAAATATGTTATAAAACACACACAGAGAGGAAAATGGAAATGACACACATGTGCTAAAACAACAGCAGATTCACGTGGGCATTTGGAAATAAAAATAATAAAGTCTCTTAAGATATTTTAATTTATAATATGATATATTTACAGTACCTTCAAAAAATAATATTAAAAAAGTCACTCTCTCAATAAAACTATAACAGATCAGACAAAACCAGAAATCAGGTTCAGGGTCAGTGTTACTCAAACCTCCGTTTCCTTTTCAATTTGCGTGTGTGTGTGCAAGTAACATCTTCAAATAACTTTACAACTCTTAACACTGTGCAAGAAGAGGCTTTGCCGACATTTTTAAAAAAATGTGCAGTAAATTTTTGTTGCCGGGATTCTCCCCCCCCTCCCCCGTTCATCTGTTATTACAATGAACAAGCTGCAGAAGGCTCCTCGCCCTCGCCCCCCCCCCCCGGCCCCCTTTTTTCATAAAATCCTATTAGCGGTATGTAAATATGCTGTTTAATATAAACATGGTCCGTTCATTCCCCTGTACAATATGCACAGTTTGAGGTAGAAGTTTCTCAGCCTGACTGCTATTGTCTGGCCGAAGGAGATAAGCGCAGTAACTCACTGCTTGCTGATGCAGAGGGAACAAGCACAAGAGTGTGGGTTGGGTTGTTTTACCCCCTTTGAAAATATACCAGTGCTCCTCATTACTCATTACTTTTTCCCTGTCGCTACTCTGCGGAAGGGGAGAGCACGGCTACTCTGAGCTTAAAACTCATCTTGGCAGCAGATCTCCGTCTCGCCAGCCGTACTCTGTGTCCGGAGCACCTGCAGCACCGACCCTGCGCCTCCCAAAACCCCAGTGCTCTGGGTGAGGGGATGAACCCCGGGGCGAGGCGGGGGTGGCCGGGACCCCAAATGCAGCCGAATTCAGCCGTCAAAGGCTCGGGTTCAGCCTCCAGCACGGTCCCGGGACAGGCACCCGAGTACAGGCGCTGCTGCCGCAGCCCCCGTCGACAGCGCGTTTCCTAAAGACAAGGCGGCTGTCCCTGGGACGGGCTGTTTATTTCCTTTGTTCTCCGGTCAGTGGGTTTCCTGTTTGCTGTAGTTTCGGATGAGGTATGTCGTACACCACTTCACCTGCTTTTATTCCTTAGTAAACACCCGCACTCCCCCTGCGAAGGCAAGGGATCGTTTTGCTTGGCAATAGCATTACCATCACCATCAGGCATCTGCCGGGGATTACTCCTGCGTGTTTCCCTGCCTGCCATTCCCCCCCTGTCCCGGGTCTGACGCGGCCCCCCACGGCCCCCCTATACCTTGGACTCCGAATCGGAGGTTTTGCTATGTCTCTCCTCCAGGCTGGACTCGCTGCCGCCCCGTGTGCCCCCGTTGTAGTCGGACCAGGTCCCTGCCAGGCTGCGCTCGGGGGAGCCCACGGTGCTGATCAAGCCCCCGGGCAGCCGGGCCAGCTCCCCGCCGCCGCCGTGCAGCCACCGGTCGGCTTTCCGGCGGCAGCAGAGCAGCCTCTTGAAGGCCTTACGAAAGTCGGGGCTGCGGCAGTAGATGATGGGGTTGAACGCGGAGTTGGCGTAGCCCAGCCAGTTGAAGAAAACGAAGAGCCAGTCCGGCACCAGGTCCCTGTTGAAGACGTTGACGATGTTCACCAGGAAAAACGGGAGCCAGCAGAGGGTGAACACCCCCATGATGATGCCCAAAGTCTTGAGGGCTTTCTGCTCCTTCATGGCCATGATGCGGGAGCTCTTTCGCTTGCTGGCTCGGCCGTTGCCGAGGATGGGCTGGTGGTGAGGGTGAGCGGGCAGGGGCGTCTGCGGCTGGTCCTGGCTGCCGTAGAACCGGCCCTCGCACCTATCGATCTTCCTCATCTGCTCCTTGGCCTCTCTGTACACCCGGAGGTACACAAAGATCATGATGAGAAGGGGGATGTAGAAAGAAATGATGGACGAGGCGATGGCGTAAGCCCTGTTGGTGACGAAGTCGCAGCAGCCCGGGTCCTGGTAGCACTCCAGCGCCTGGGGGTCCTCGTCCCGCCACCAGTGCATCATGATGGGCAAGAAGGAGACCAAGGCAGAGATGGCCCAGACGGTGCAGATGATGCCCTTGGCCCGACCCTTGGTCATGAGGCTCTGGTAGCGGAAAGGTGAGGTGATGGCTAGGTAGCGGTCGATGGCGATGACGCACAAGGTCTCGATGCTGGCCGTCACACACAGCACGTCCAGGGAGGTCCAGCACTCGCAGAGGAAGGACCCCCAGAGCCAGGTGCCCCGCACCACCAGCGTGGCCCCGAAGGGCACCACCAGCAGCCCCATCACCAGGTCGGCGCAGGCCAGCGAGGTGATGAACAGGTTGGTGAGCGTCTGAAGCCGCTGCGTCCTCCCGATGGCCGCGATCACCAGCACGTTCCCGGCCACGATGAGCAGCACCACCAGGGCCATCAGCAGGCTCATGCCCACAGCCCACTGCTGCGACAGCAGCTCGGCGGCGGGCAGCTGTCTGCTCCCGGGCGCACCAGCCGTCACCACCGCCCACGGAGCGGTTCTGGGGGCCGCAGTCCGGCGGAAGCCCACCCATCGCCCATGGCTGTGCGGGCGCTCCTGGCCGCCGCTCCGCACCGCGCGCGGCAGAAGGCGGTCGCCGCCGCCGCCACGCCCCGGGCGGCCGCATGGCCCCGCTCCGCGCCGCCGGACCGACCGCCCCGCACCGCCCCGGCACCAGCCCCGCACCAATCGGCACCCAGGGGGTGGAGACGGACCGCCCCGCCCACGCACCGGCGGTATGCCTGCCCGTATCCCTGCCCGTATCCCTGCCGGCATCCTGCCGGTATTCTCGTCCGTATCCCTCCTGGACCCCCGTCTTTGCTCTGGCTACGCTCCTAAAAGGAGGTTGTAGCGAGGTGGGTATCGGTCTCTTCTCCCGGGCAACCAGCAGTAGGACAAGAGGGCACGGTCTTAAGCTGCGCCAGGGCAGGTTTAAGCTGGACATTAGGAAGAAGTTCTTCGCAGAAAGAGTGATCGGGCATTGGAACGGGCCCTGGAGGTGTTTGAGAAGAGACTGGATGTAGCACTTAGTGCCATGGTCTAGTAGACAAGGTGGTGTTGGGTCAAAGGTTGGACTTGATGATCTCAGAGGTCTTTTCCAGCCTGGTAGATTCTGTGACTGTGCCTGCCCCGCGGCTGCTGGGCACAGACCTTCTCCCCCCTCTTCCCTGAGACACCCACGCTGTCGTACGGCAGCCGCGAGGCAGGCAGGGGATGTGAGCGGGAGCAGTAGCTGGAGCAGAAGCTCCACCTCTTTACCCCTGTAAAAAGCAAAATGCCAGATCCCGGCACTATCATCATCATTCTCCACTGAAAAGTAATTGACATCCCCTCCCATGGGATGTCCCCCACCAGGGACAAGCCCCACACTCTCTCGCAAGCCCCCTGTCACCAGTGCCTCCTTCCCCAGCCTGGGCAACCCCAGAGCCCCATGGAAAACCTTCTGGCTTAAGGGATAATGCTACCAGCTCTGTGCAGAGAGCTATGGCTTGTCCCCCGCATTTCCCCACCGTGAATCCTCTTTTCCCCATCTCATCCAGCCCTGCCAGATAAAGGCACTGCAAGGCTGAGAGGTGGGGGTCCCAACTCCCCTTTCTGACTTTCCTCCACCTCACTGAACAGTTCTCTCTGGACTTTTAAAAATGCGGGCAGCAGCTTCAGTCTGAGCAAACCACACTAAATCTAGGGACTGCTCTAAGTTTTAGTACTGTTAGTGCCATTATTGGTGGTAATGAGCAATAAAGTTCATGAAACATCCCAAGGCTGCAATGCCCAGATAACAGACTTTGATCGAATCCCTGCCCGACTCCTATCTAATTCCATGAAACCTGCTGCTAGCAACTAGTTGGATTGGCTTCCCATTTGCTTGCTTGGCCCTCTATTTGGCTCCAAAGCTGTAAGATTACTCTTGGGTGCATTTAACTGCGTTTTACTCCTCTTTAAAACTTCTTAGAATAATGTGGAACAGCCACTGAGTAAATGAGAGCGATGTCCCCTCTCTCCTGCTTTTTTAATCATCAACATGTCTTACAGGAGCACCAAACATTCCCCACAGCACTCTGGGAGCAATTGGGAGCCGTGATTATTTTCTTTCCTCTATATATTTATTCTGCTAAGACTGCTCCGCTGTTCCAACTGGACCATAAAAATCCCTTCCAGGCTTAGGCTTGATTTACAAGGTCACAACCTGGGAAAAAATTATTTATTTATTTACACCCTGTTTATTTAACCCTGACTAAAGGCCACACACCAGCATGGACCTGCTGCTTGGCAAACTATTCCCTCATGTTCCCATGGACTTTGCTTTGCTCCTCGTCATCTGCTGGACCACAGCATGACCCTCTTTGGCGGGAAGGGCAGGAGGCATGACATCTTCAAGAGCAGAGGGAGACCTTATGCCAAATGAAAAGCAGAAGGGTTGTGTCTAAGAATATTTGTCCAGGTCTGGTATCTGTAATTCTGATTTTAAAAAATAATAATCTGAAACCAGGTTAATGGCGCTGTGGGATAGAAACAATTTTTTCTTTCCTACATTTAGCTGGAACACTTAAAGTACGAGCTCTGCGGTGCATCATTGAACCAAAGCCTTCACAGTTGAGATGCTTGGATGTATTTTGTGAATGTGTATAGTTCATTTTAGTGCAAAATCAACCAGATAAAAATCTGATAAAATCTTAACTACTTTTCCCAAGATGACACTGAAGCAGTGTTGGGGATACTCTGTAACTGTTTTGCTTGCTATTCCTGGAGCATCATCCATCTGTCATCTGTCCAGATCCATTATTGCTGTAGTATCTTTATACAGTTAATAAATACCATAAACTGATAAAATGCCAACTCTTTGCCTATCGAGCTGTCCTATGAGGTCTCCAGCTGGAGGTCTCTTTCCACTGTAAGGGAAGATAAGCTTAAAGGTTGGAGAATTAAAGGAAATTACTGGCAAGTACGCAATAAACCAGAAGACACATAATTGTGTGTTGCTTCTCAGTATCTTTGTTGGTTTAACACGCATCAATCTGGAATGTCAGATCAGAGCTGGAGCCAGAATGTCTTTGGGAAACAATGCATCTCCAAAGGAAAAAATAAGCAAATTTACAATTTCTGTACAGAACATCCCTCTGGCCCTTGCACAGCAGAGCAGCCAAATATTCACTGTAGGTTTAACCCCTTTCAGAGTGTTACCTTTTGAAAATCTCCTTTAACTCAAAATTTCCTTTTTTTTTTTTTCATTTCAGACAGTTCTTTAACATGATTTTAATACCACCCTTTGTTTGCATATTATGTAAGAATGTTAAGTCAAGAGAAGAGCTTACAGCAGTGAAATGGTTTGTTTCTACTTGCTCTCCACATCACAGTTTTTAATAAGCAATTAATTTATTTTTCTTTTGGAAGTCATTAAAAAAAAGAAAAAAGAAAACCTGAACTCTCAGTAGTTATTAGGAGAGATCAATCTTATATGGAATAGGGTTGACAAGTAGATCTGATGAGAATCAAAATGTTTTGCATTTGAGGAACCCTGTTGTCATGAGCGGTGAAGCTTCAACACATCAGGAACTGAAGTGTCCTATCTAGGTGTGTTTTTAAACCCAGTCCTTTGAGATGGTTTGCACAGCTCCCTGCCTGTCTTCTTGCCTCTCCCTGCATGCAAAACAGATTGCAAGATGAGGATCCTATTGAATGGCATGTTCCTGCATTCACAGCACTACCCTGGGGAATGTCAGCAGCACCAGCAGCGGGGCAGGAGACTGGGAATGGTGCTGGACACTGGGGCCAATCCCTTCCTTCATCATAGCTGTAGCTAGGGCAGTGCTGGGACCAGTGGATTTGCTGTTGCCAGCTCTGACATGCTGCTGTAGGCCATCCCTGGATCTCCAGGGCTGCTCTGAGCTCTGTGTGCCAGGTCTTACATAGCCTGTGAGGTTGGTTGGGGAGGGAGGATGTTGGCAGAAGGGTGATGAATGTTTGAAGAAAGATGGTGGGATTAGCAGATGAGGAGAGTGGTGAGGCAATTTAACCTGTTGAAGACATAATCTCTTAATGTAGTTGGAGGAAGAAAAAATTGTCATGAATGGAGAGAAATAATTTAGATTAATACAAGGATATTTAAGGAGTGGTAATGTGATGAAAGGGAAAATTTGTTATTAATATCTGAAAGAACTTTTAGGACATCAAACCTGTTGGGTTGCAAGGAGTGGCAGTGAATGTCTCATCACTCAGGCCTTACAGTTAGGTTTGACAAAACTCTAATTCTCAGCTATGGATCAGATTTCATCATGTCTAAGATCCAGACATTCCCAGGTTTTACTTTTAGCTTCAACATGTTTTTTTTACCGTATCTCAGCAACTTGGCTCTTGACAAGTAACTTTCAGTTTTCTCCACAAAAAGAAAAATAAATTCGGTCATCTTTGCTACTGGGTAACCAGCTGGATTTAAGGAAGCTTTAGTGGAGAAATGCAACGAAGAAACAGTTTCTCTGTGGCTGTGACAATGGCGTGGAGAGCAGAAATCTCTTGTGGGCAAGCAGTTAGGAGGAGTAGTTGCCTTCCAGGCACAAGGGGTGATTGTGATGCCCTTATGACCCAGAAGGATCTTGTCTTCCTTGTTTAGCCTTGTTCCAGTCACGCCTTCATGAATCAAATCCAGAGACCACCATTATCAACATAATGTCCTCTTAAAATATTAACTGTTTGTTCTCTTAAAGCATTAGTCAAAGCCCACTAAAATGCCTGGAAAGCCTTCCACTGATTTCAGTGAGCTTCATGTTGTTATTCTTTCTCTGGAGAAAAAGGACTACATAAAAGCAAATTAAAAATGCTGCCCCTTTTTCTTTCTGATGTCTTCCTAAATCTCTTTGTAAACTTAGCATGCATCTGAGAACCGTTTTGTGTTCGTTACCTGGACAGCTGACTAAAACCTCAGCTGAAGGAAAGCAGAGGAGAAACAACTCTGCAAGTCCTCACGTGAAGCGATCGGGCTTCACCCTCTCTGTGCTGTCTCAGGAAGAAATTGTCACTTGGCTCTATTCACATTGGACATTTGTTATTAGAGAAATAGAGACATGATGGAACATTGCCACAAGATCCATGTCTCTTGTTTTTAAAATAAACATCTTTGCTTTGACTTGACGTTTATTTTCCATAAATGCCTCAGCTTCAATTTGGCATTTCAGCAACAGCGGGAGGCTGTTATCCTGTGACAACACGCAATTCCATTGACATTATCTCTTGAATACATGTGACAGTGCTCCAAATACTGTGTGTAGTTGATTTTAGTTAAACAATGTCATGAAAATATAAAGCAAATGTATTGGATAGCAGAAGTGGCCATATTTTCCAGCTCTATGCTATGTGTGTAACACCACAATTACACGAGGAACACTATATACTGATGAGTGCTACCTTAGTAAGCACACCCTGAGTTTGACTTAGGGGGTCCAAAGCAGTGAATGCCTATTAATTCCTGTTGACTCAAGGGCTGTGGCTGATGTGTTGGTTAGCATGTGCAGAGCTGAGCCTATCAACATTTTGAAAAGCTCTAAAC